TTTGGGAGAGTCTTTCTGTTTTGCTTTATTGTTTTCTGTACTGTGTAGTCCAGTTTATTATCTACAATTCTATTAAAGTCTCCCATCATAACTATATTAACCTAGTCCAATTCAATTATTTTCATATGTAATTTTTTATAAAACTCTTCTTGATTGTCATTCGGGGCATAGATAGTAATCAGGAGTGTTTTCATATTATTGTCCATTATTTCCACCATTAGTATTCTTCCATCGTCATCGGTATAGATCAATTTCACTGGGATAATATCTTTAATGTATAAAACCACTCTTCTTTTCTTGCACTGTGTCAAAGAAGTAAATATTTTCCCTAATTCTGGCTGTATCAGCAATTGTTAATGTTGCTTTTTAATATGTACTTCTTTTAGGCAGATTATATCAAATTTTAATTTCTCTAATTTATGGAAAGTTTTCCTTCTTTTAACAGTTGGGTTAAGTCCATTTATGTTAATTGTAATCAGTTTTTTCTCTTCCATGGTTATATTTTGTAGTTAGGTTTAGCAGCTCTTGTAGATCTTGGTTCACTTGTTCTTTGACTTCCACTTTTCCGCCTACTGCACCTTTTTCTTTTTCAATCGCCATTTGGCAGTCCTCTTGGAATTCAATTAATGACATTTCTTTTTCTGCCTCCTTCTCTTTCCCTCCAAAATATTCTGTGTAAAATAATTCAGCTTTCTCAATTGAGTCAATTCTATGTCTCTGTTCTTGCCATGTGAACATTAAACCTTCTGGAATCAGCCAACTATAATTCACCTCTTTTTTAAATAGAATTTTGGTCAGAAATCGGTATTCTCTTCTCATCTCTCTCACTCTACTTGTTTCAGGACCACAATCTCCTTGTCTTTATATTTCAATGTTTTTTCTCTTGCCACTTGCAATATTTAAATTTTAATGGCTTTCTTTGTAAATCTGATGTAAACTTCTCTTGGTAAGCTATTTCTCATTGCATATCTTGTGAAGACTTGATAAACCTTGTCTATTCCATCCATCACCTTCTCTTTATTTATTTCCAAAGCTTCAGCCAAAATTTCTATCATTGTCTCAGCTAGGTTTTGTCCCTTTTCTTCCTCTGTATTTTGGAATCTCAGATAAAATTCTGATCTGTCCATCTCCCATCTGATCTGTCCATCTCCCATCTCAACATCCCACTTTTATCTTGTTCAACCACAGTTAATCTGCTATCAATATCTCCAATCTTCTTATCTCTTTGTTTATCTTCTTCAATCTTTTGGAATCTCTCATCATACTTCATCATCATTTGCTGAATGTTCTCCACCTTTTCATCAGTTTTTCCTGTTCTTTGTTCAATGTTCTCTGTTGTCTTTTCAATATTCTCTGTTCTTATTTGAATATTTTGAATTCCGTGCATAATCATCTGCAGGGTCACTTTTTCCTGTTCTTTTTCTTGCTGTAACGTCGTCTGTATTGAGCGTTGTCCTCCAGATGGTGAAGAGGAAGAAGTAGAAGTTGAGGAACCAGGGGCTGTTAGTTTCCTACTCATTTCAGACAATTCAAAATCTTCAGGTTCTTCTAGACCTTAATCCACTTGTGAAATAACCAATTGTAATTCCAAGTAAAAATAGTGGGAAAAAAGAAACCAACTAGTAACAATAATAATAATTTAAAAAAAGAAAAAATTCTTCAGTTTCTTGTATACCTTAATCCAATCAATTGGTTAAATAGCAGTAAAAACTCAAAAATGGAAGAAAATACCATAAACACAGAAAAAAAGGAAAAAATTGTTAAGTTCTGAAAAAGGCGGAAAAGTAAAAAATAAAAAACCAAGGAAGAGAAAAGAATAGTTCTTCAGGTTCTTCAACACCTTAATCCAATTAAAAAGTCTCAGGTATAAAAGGATGCATAAGAAAAAAACAAAAGCCACAAAAAGAACCAATATGGAAGGTAAATAGAAAACAAAATACAAGGGAGGGAGAGAGAAAAAAGAAAAGAGACTACTCCCTTAAAAAGAAAAAAAAGGAAGAAAATCATTAATACTAAATCTTTTCCTTTAAAATAAAATGCAAACGTGAAAATTAGACTTCAAAAACAAAAAGAAAGACAAAAACAAGTTCCAAAAGGCCAAAAATCCAAATAGCTATTACAAAAAGTAAGCTAGTAAGGAGGGGGTTTGTTAAAGTAAGAAATAGCCCAGCTTAAAAAAAATAAAAAGAGCACACTGCATGTTGTTTGGTTATCCAAGGCTTTTGTAAAAATGTATAACTCTCTTCTCCAGAGTCTTATCACCTTTTTTTCTATAAACTTCAACATCAGACTCCAGCTATTGATAGAAACCCAGAAGCACCTGCAATAATACTCTCCCATGCTCTTCCCTCTATCTTATCAAACAGGCAATGTCCTTGAAAAGAAGTCTCAGTTCTTTCTCAGCTTTGTCTGGTCAAGAAAAAAAAGAGATAGAATATTTCCAAGCCTCTAGTTGGCAGTGTTACAAAGTTTCTTCTGCTTTCACTTTCCCCCTCCTTTTCCAAACAAGATATAATAAAAATTAATTAAAAAGGGAAAAAGATATTTAAAAAGATGACTAGAAGGGAGTCTCTAGCCTAGAATATTATAAAGTCAAAAAGGAGAGAAAGAATTCGTGGAAGAAGAAAAAAAAACAGTCCAGTTTCAAAATATAAAATCACGCATAGGAAAGCCAGCAATGAGAAGAAAAAATATATATATATTACTTTGACTTCTTGTTTAAAATCGCCGCTTAATCACTTCTGTTAAAACTTTTACAGATTCTTTCTTTTCCTTAGGGTGTCTTTTCAAATCTTAAAGTAAAGAAAAAGTTATCACCACCACACTTTCTCTTTCCGTTCTCTTTTGTTTCAGAGCTGTCCCAACTTCAGCAGCTTTAATGGTTGCCTCTTTGCCGCTGGCAAAAAGAGCTTCTCCTGGATCTACCAGGGACTTTGTAGTGTCCCTGGGATTGGCAGGATGCACTCTTTACATTGACCGTCTCTCCAGGACGGTTTAGATCTGTTTGGACTGTCCAGGAGCAAAGATATTGGCAGCGATCTCAGACCTCCAAGATCGCATGCCGTATCGTCGCGGTGCCAGCTCCGCCCTCCTCCATGTTTTTTAAAATTTGATAATGGGACCAGGAATATAACTCCTGCCTGATCTAACAGGATGCATAGACATCACTGGTGGGCAAACACATATCTGTAGGTCATTTGCAGCCCCATTTTAATGGTCTTAAGAATCCTTTACAAAAGATTTGTAAAAACCAGCTTGGCATCTTCCTGTTATATGAACTGAACACATTTGAAAGAAAGAATTAGGGGCAAATAAATTTAAGATGGGTCTAGAAATTCTCTTTCCATAGGGAGATCTCACTTTCTCAGGGTACTCTAATAAATTGCTTTTAAATGCTCTTCCCACTGGTTGCTTATTGGGAAGGTAAATCGAGGCAGAACTTAGGGTCAGATTTGGCTATCAAAAGCACATGAAAACTGTGATGGAAGCCCTAGCCTAGATAGTAGGTAGGGAGTTAGCGATATATAATTTTAAATTCAAAGAAGTTCATTCTCATCAAATGCCCCAGGACAGGAGGGAAATTAGAAAACTGAGGCAACCTCAATATGAATAATAACGCACCTTCCACTTTCTATAAACTTTTCATCTCTGGAGACTTCAACTTCCAAAAAAGAGTGCCTTCATTTACCAAAAGGTTGCCTGAGAGAAAGGAAGCTGTATTATTACACTAGTGAGGCTGTGCTATGTTAACACAATACTCTTAGACTGGCCAGACAAAGTAATAGCCAAAGCAGCTATTAGTTAGGGGTTACTTTAGCTTGGTTAGTTTATTATTCAGGGTTTTCATACAAACTAATCCAAGGAAAATAAATGAAATTATATTCTATAAATGCAGGATCTGGGTGTTCTACCCAATGCTTTGGTTTTTGAGGAAACCCTTGGAACTCAGAGAAAAGAGGGTTTTTTAAAAATAATATTTTACTTGAAAATGTTGCGTGTAGATTAGATGGTATATCTGCCATTAACTGGCTTATATTTAAATCAAAAGGATCTATTATTTATGCAGGGAGCACATTCTCTCCTTATATTTTTTAAAAGTCCAGGGTCCAAAGAACTCTGGACAAGGGAACAAAGTAAAGAGGGAACATGTTATTACCTACAGTATATAACCTCAAGATTAATGTTAGCTCTTCAAAGTAATCCAGACAAGCACAATCACCAGAACTAATTACGTCTTTATTGTCAGATTACAGTACCAGAATCTTGCAAAACTGGTGATCACCTTTAAACCCCTTCATGGCATGGATCCAGGTTACTTCAGGGGCTGTGCCACCCCATTGGGATTGGCTTGTCCCACTTGTGCCAACAGAGGAGGCATGCAGTGGGTCTTGTCAGCCAAGGTTTTTGCCCTCTGTCTGGAAGACCTTGTCCTCTGATGTGAGATTGGCCCTAACCCTGCTATCCTTTCATAAAGACCTAAAGATCTGGCTCTGCCAGTTAGCCTGGGGTCCCAATGGGAGAACAGCCTGGAGGAGGTGGTTGATTGAATAACTACAGATCCCACCTCCCCCCATTCTGCTCCCATTCTCCCCATGTGCCACTTGATTTTAATTTTTGGTTTTCATTTATTCATGTTTTAATATAGATGTATTTTTTTGTGTCTGTAAGCCATCCAGAGTTACCTTATCGTCCAATAAATCTGATAAATAATAAAATAAAACTGAAATTATTTCCCCCTCTTTTCTTTTTACTCTCCAAAAAATAAGAGAGGGATCCTTCTGTAACACATCCCACATCCTTCTTTGGTGGGCTGAGATACCTTTTATCTGCCGGTTGCTCAGTCTGTGGCTCTCCCTTCTGTCTTCCAAGTTCATTCTCACATACTATTAAAGTAGGTTCTCCATGATTACATCTGGAATATGATTCTAAAATAACTGTTGAAGATAAGAACTTTATTTGATACTTTGGGATGCATTATGAGACCTGTTCCCTCTAAACAGGTGACACCATGTCTGTGATATACAGCGAGGTGGCTGCCGATGAGCCAACTACCAATAGCTTCTGGATGGTGAGTAGCTGATAACAGGACAGGGTGGCAGGAGGGGAAGAGGTTCAATTTATGTTTATGCAACATGTTTGTCTCATTTACTAAGCTAGCCCATTTTAGATCACTAGAATACCTTGAATCTTAAACTAATCAAATGGGCAGAGTTTACAGTACATGCCGAACTATAAAACAAAAATACAAAACAATATGTTAATTGGGGTGAAAACTATGTTAACTGGCATATGAATAGAGACATTTTGATCTAGTGGAGCCTATTGTGTGAACCTGGCATCTGAGAACGATGGAAGATGTTTCAAGTGTCCTTCCGTCTTTCCTTCATTCCTTCCTTCTTTCCTTCCTTCCTTCCTTCTTCCCTTCCTGGCTCCTTTCATCCTTCCCCTTCTTTTTTTTCCTCCCTTTCAAGCCCTCCCTCCCTCCTTCTTTCCCTCCTTCCTTCTATTGGGCTGACCAACCCATAAATGTTATTCTGGATGACTAACATATTGTTAAAACAGATCTCTCAACAAGTCATCTAACCTTCCAACCTTCACTTCTATCCAGGGTTTTAATGCTTTATGAAAGGCCAGAAAGATCAGGACTAATCTGATCTCAGGAGGATATAGTGTTCTTAAAGCAGACACTATACAAATTAATTTAAAAAAATTAAAAATTCACTTTCTTTAATTGAAGGGTCCAGAGTGTGCTCCCCCTTATCGGACCTAATGGGGTGGGTGGAAACAATCAGGAAGAGGCAAATAATGCAATCTCATATCATGGATTAGGGTTAGGGTAACAGCACTTCAGCTTTTTAAATTTATTTGTTTGTTTTCTTATTTGCATCATCATCATCATCATTATTATATAATATAATTATTATTTTTACAAATAGCTCAAGGTGGCAAACATATCCAACATGGTTTGTCCTTCTATTTTCCCACAACATCCGTGTGGGAGGAGCTGGGCCGAGAGAGACTGACTGGCCCAAAATCACCCAGTTAGTTTTCAGGCCTAAGTGGAAGAGCTGAATTCATGGCCTCATGCTTTCTAGCCTGTTGCCATAATCACCAGACCAAACTGGCACAGAATTTCATCCAGAAGCACACTGGAAGCCTGTGCAAGTCTCAGAGGAGAAGTGTAACATGGGCATCCCAAAGTCCACCTGTAAGCTGCGCATTCTGCTCTATTCTGAACTGGCTACAAGGGCAGCCCCACACGAATCCCTTGGGACAAAAATCAGTGAAGTCAAGACCTCATGACATTGACCAAAGGATAACAAAAAGATAAATTGGGAGAGCTAAGGTGCTGAAGGTTTCTGATTTTTCTAAAGATAATGAAGTCCTATCCAAATTGTAGGCTAGATTGGAAAGTTGAAAAAAAATAGAAAAGCAATAATAGTCCCAAATTGCTGTGAAGAAAACCACATTAAGACATCAACAGTCTGCATATTCAAAATCTCCCTTTCTCTTAATGTTGATTTTTCATCATCACATTACTTGATATTAAACAGGAAAAAAGAACTTGACCACAGCACTGCAAACTTCACTATCAAAATTTTCTGTTATGTCTGGCTACATTTCCCCTCTAGAGTTTTTAAAAATAAGTGGTGACTTAAAAGCAATGTTCCTTGAACTTCAGACTAGCTACTCATATTTTAGCCTACTGTGCTGAGTGAACCCAACTCATAATTTATGGTTCTATGTGTTGTGCAAATTCAGGGAACTGAGTTAATTGAGCACACTGTAATTTGGTAAATTATGGATTAGCATGTTGTGCAAAGACTTCCAGTTTTGAAAACACATTTATACCATTACCCCATACTCTCTTAAACAATTAAAGCCATAATACCTAATTTATGCCTGTTTTTCTGGAACACTTAATGATAGTGCTTGGGATTCTCTGTTTTTCAAGAACTGCTAAACAGGGTTGGTTTGATTCTGGTTGGAATTCACAGGAGGACCCCAGGTAGAGGTAGAATTCTGTGGAATTTGGAAGGAAAGGCAGTAGGCATTGTTTTGAAGGGGCATTCCTGCACCACAAGACTGAGACCACTCTCTATCCCTTTTTCCCATCCCTTCTCCTGTAGCCCAATCACTACCAGAACACAGTCAAACGTCTGGATGATGGGTATCGTGTCTGTGACCAGATTGTAGCCTGTTTCCAGGAACGGGCAAAGATTGAACGTAACTATGCTCTGATGATGGATGAATGGACTCGCAAATGGCGGCCCCTTGTTGATGCAGGTGAGTGGTTTCATCATTTTTCTGTGAATGTTCCAAATTCTGGTCTGCTTTATATGCAGGTTTCATTTGAAAGAACTTGGGATCAGGGAAAAAAACCTGGTAGAAATGTATGTTCTGACTGTAAATTAGTATGCTTGCTATTTCCTTCAGGATTAAGGCAAATACCTTGCCACGCCTAGAATGTTTATTCTCGAATGATTTGCAACATTACTAGAGTGCGTTGTAAATCCAACTCTGTTCCTTCTGTCTATGATGCTGTCCATGTGTTGTCTCCATATTCTGAGTTATGCAGTTTTACCCTGATTTATTTCTGTAGGCAAAGCATCAGCCCACCACAAAAGCAGAAAGCATTATCAGGGTTAGGAGAATTAGTTATTATCCCCCCAGCCTTTTGGGGTCTTTCCCCACTTATAACTAACTATTGCCCCCAAAGCATCCTTGTAACATCTTTTTCCTGCCATGTGTCCTTGATGCTGCTTTCATTTTATCCCCAGTCCATGTGTGAAACCTATTGTTCCTTACTATGTTAAAAGGTCCAAAATCATTCAAGGCCAACTCGAGATATATAAAATCAGGTTTTGTCACCAATTATGTTACACATAAATGGTCATTGCAGTGATTAGGAATGGTGGAAATAAAGAACAGCAAATGTACAGTTTCTAGAGATCACATGGATGTAAAATAGTTCAGCTCAGCAGCAGGAAAAGTCTCTTTTTTTTTATTTCAAGATCCACTAAAGTTTGTTCTTGCCATAAACTTTTAGTTCATTATTTTTATTCCTAGAATATACTATGGCGCCATTTCAAAAACTGTTCAAGGAAAATTCTCCTTTCAACTTTCCCTGCCCTGCTATATTTATTTTGAATGTTGTTGTAGCTCAGTGATGGCATGTGGCACACAGAACCATTTGTGCAGGCACGCAAGCCGCATCCAAACTTACCTGCACTGCACATGTGTGAGCCTCCCACCTGATTTTTGGCTTGTTTGAGGCAGTTTTCACCCTCCCGGAGGCTCAAGGGAAGCCTCTGCAGCCTCGGGAGGCCCAAAAACAGGCCTTTCGGAAATACAGAAGTGCCCATTTTCAGCTTCTGGAAGGCCTCTGGAGCTCGGGGGAGGCCATTTTTGCTCTCCCGGAGGCTCAAGAGAAACATCTGCAGCCTTGGGAAGCCAAAAAAACAGGCCTTTCGGAAATACCAAAACGGACTCCAGAGGCCCTCAGGAGGCTGAAAACAGGCACTTCCGGTATTTCTGGAAGGCCCGCTTTTTGGCCTTCCGAGGCTGCAGAGGCTTCCCTCAAGCCTCTGGGAGGGTGAAAATAGCCTCAAACGGGCTGAAAATCAGTTGGGAGGCATGCACATGCACAGTGCAGGTAAGGGAATGGGAGTGTTGCACACACATACACGGGGGCGGGGCGCATGTGGGTGCCAGCACGCATGCATGTGCCTTAGGCACACCACAACAAAAAGATTCGCCATCACTGATATAGCTAGTCATAATACTATAATGCATTTCCTAAAACTAGCCCCAGTTGTAACTTCAAAAGATAGATAATTCCCATGATATGGGACTGGGTGATTTTTTTCCCCTTTGAAGTAATGATTTCATCTTGCTAAAGTATACGGGAAGATAAGTATTTCTGGCGGGATGGTAATATCTTTGCTTTTAAGCCTACAGAAGAAACTGTTTTTTCCATGGATAGTTGCTGTTGACAACCTGTGCAATTGAAAAGCTGAATAAACCGTGCTTTCTAAAAGTTATCTAAGAAAATCTAAATGCTCTATATTCCAGAGACTTGTCCTGCGGCATTTTAGCATCTATTATATGAGAATGCTGCTAGGTTTTCTTTTGTTTTTAATGTACCTGAAACTGCAGTCTTGAGCAATTAGTAAAATGCTGGGACTCACCTGCAAATAATTCAGGATACATATATTTTTTTGGAATTATCTCCTAGTTGAGGTGATGTCATTCCAAAGGATGCTGTCATATTATTATAGACTGTATCTCATAATTGGGTAGTCTGTGGTCAGGAAGTGTCCTGCCAAAAATCAGTTGCACTAAATGTTGCATTATAGAACATCGTGAGGCCCATTTCTGTAGCCCGTGAGCATAGCTGAAATTCCTGATATAAAATTCATAGCTGCTGGTTAGCCAGTGGTGTTTGCAAGGTGTAATTTAAAAAAAATCAAGCTGTTGGCTGTGATAAGGCAGTCAAAGCACCGTGATGAACATAAAAAAAAACAAGTGGAGTTTCAAATTACACAGTCACAGCTGCCATCTTGACTTTTTTAACTGTACTCTATGACACTTCTGGAATTGGCATCCTTCAGTCTCAAGAGACTATAGTATCATGCTATAAAACTGGTAACTGCCACTTCCCGTGTTGTTTCAATGCTGTGGAGTGTCCTCTCCAGAGCAAAAGGCCTGGGTAATTTAATATGGAGGATAAAATTGTTACCCAAGCAGCAGATCCCCCCTCTCCACGTCACTGAAATAGCCTAATGGAATGGCAGAGCCAATGCGATTAGTTCCAAGACACTCCTACAACTGCCATATATTTATCTGGTTGATTCCACTTAGATAGCAATAGTACTTAGACTTACATACCGCTTCACAGTGCTTTACAGCCCTCTCTAAGTGGTTTACAGAGTCAGCATATTGCCCCCAACAATCTGAGGCCTCATTTTACCAACCTCAGAAGGAGGGAAGGCTGAGTCAACCTTGAACTGGTCAGTATTGAATTCCTGGCAGTCGGCAGAATTAGCCTGTAATTCTGCATTCTAAGCACTGCACCACCATGGTTCTTGTGGTAAAGCAGTGCTTCTCAGTGTTGCTCCCTTCAAGATGTGTGGACACCACTAGTGGCTGAGGAATTCTGGGAGTTGAAGTTCAAATGTGACCAAGGTTGAAAAAGACTCATTTAGAGTAGGCCAATTTTCTGCCTACCAGTCTAAACATGGATTTCTGCCCACCCTCAGTTACCTCCTATGCACGAACATCTGTGTTAGTGGAGAAAATCCTGCACATGATTATAGCAGAATAAAAGTTGCCATCGAAATCAATTTTTTATTGGCTTCTCTAGCTAGATCACTTTTCCAGTTTTCCAGTTCCTCAATAAAGCATCAAAGTTGCATTCTTCAAATCCCAAAAAATCACTTGTTCTCAATTTTGCTGCAGTGAAGGAATTTATCCTGTCATTCCTTACCCTTCTCCCTTCACTTCTAGGCCCGGCATATGGTACCCTACTCCATGCATGGCAAGCTTTCCTGGGGGCTTCTGAGCGGTTAAGCCGCATACACATGGAAATGCAAAGGGCTTTGGTTTCTGAGGATGCTGGACGTATCCGATCCTGGCAGCACGACTCCTATCACCGCAAGCTCTTTGGGGGCTTCAAGGAGGCTTGCGAGCTAGAAAATGGTTTCCAGCGGGCTCAGAAACCCTGGACTAAGAAGCTCAAGAAGGTAGGAGGAAGAACATGCCCTTTGGGAGTTCTCTAGGTATAGAGATAGGTAAAGACATGGAAGAATAGAATCCAAGGGTTTAGGTTTGTTTAGGAAGCAAAAGAACCAGGTTTATTTTTATTGCAAGCTTGTATCTCTCTTTCCCTTTACTCCTGATCCGTACCCTTTTGCAACCAGGTCCAACATGAAGCAATAAAATGAGGTTGGATGGAGTCCTCAATTTATGCATAGTAGGAGGTTAGCATTGGTTGCCTGTGTAGACTTATTTCCTTCCCACTGACTCCATAAATTAAGGGTATATGGAAACTGAGAAGCAGGATTTCTGGGACTACTGGATCCCAACTGCCCTTTCCTCCTCTTCATTTTCTACTTTCAGGCAGAGAAGGCCAAAACTCTTTATCATAAGGCCTGCCGCAAAGAGTACATTGCAACACTGCGGGAGAGAGGAATTCAGGTAACATCTGGGGCTGAAGTATCTCCAGAGCGGCAACGTACTTTGCGTGAAGAACATCAACGTTGTAGACAAGAAACCAGCAAGGTAGGGGATTTTTCCTACCTCTCCATCTTCTTCATTGCTCCTGGCCGGTGGGGCAGTTTGTCAGATAAGCCAACAATATCAGCCAAAATTGTGTCTGGTATATCCATCTATTATATGCTACTGTTGGCTTCACCATCAGCTGGCCATGACAAGTAATCTTCAAATGAGGACCACAATTGAGACCAAGATTTCTGTTGCTAAGTGAAGCATTTGTTAAGTGACTTTTGCCCCATTTTACAGCCTTTCTTGCTACAATTGTTAGGTGAATCGCTAGAGGTGTTAAGTTAGTAACTAGGTTGTTAAGTGAATCTTACTTCCCCATTGACATTGCTTGTCAGAAGGTTGTGAAAGGGGATCATGTAACCCGAGGAAATTGCAACCATCATAAATGCAAGTTAGTTGCCAAGCGCCTGCATTTTGATGACATGACCATGGGGAGGCTTCAACAGCCCTAAGGATGAAAATGGGTCACGCGTCACTTTTTTCACTGCCATTGTTACTTCGAACAGTCACTAAATGAACTGTTGTAAGTCAAGGAATACCTGTATATTTTGATTAAAATATAAAGCAGAAATGGAACTACAGTTCCCAGCATTCTTCATTTTTGACCAGATTGGCAGAAGTTATCCTGAGTTATATTATAGCAATATCTAGAGGGGGGTGCAATTTCAAGACCCACAGACCAGATACATCCCACAGGGTGCTTGGATCTGGCCCGTGGGGCTGCCCTGGAAACAGGGAAGGTCCAACCCATGGTTCCTCTGCCAGCAAAAATAAAGTTCAGGAGGGCTGCATGTGCCCCCCCCCCCGAGTTCCGTTTCCACTGGCAAAGGGCTGCAGGAGGCCATCGCAGCCAAAAAACAGGGCTTGGGGGGCATGCATGCCCCCCGTCCTCCATTTTTGCTGGCAGAGGGCTGCAGGAGGCTGTCTGCAGGAAGCCTAGGACTCTGGTCAGCCTGCGCCCCTGTCCGGGTGTCCTCTGCATGGTCTGAGGGATGGTGAGGCTCCTCTAGAGGACAAGGGTTTGGCCTTCTCCCTGGTCTCACCTTACTCCGCTGAAGACAAGGTATCTCCCCCGGCCCTGCCCAGTCTACCACAGGTGCCCCCGACATGAGTGATGTTGAGCTGGCTATGCCCCCTCATCCCTCCACCGAAGTCAAACACAACCGTGATGCAGCCCTCAATGAAATTGAGTTTGACCCCCCTGATCTAGAGAATTAACAGTTCCCTGATACTTTTATCAAATATATTAATTGACTGGTGGGATTAGAGAACATGTCCCCATCTTGTGCCTTCAGTATGGGGGGGCGTCTTTGACTTAGGACACATTTGGGACCAGAATTTCCATTCCTAAGCAAAGTAATTAAGTTAGTCATACTCAATTTTGTGCCCTTTTTTGCCTCAGCTTTAAGCAAATCACTGCATCTGTTAAGTGGATCAGGTGGTTGTTAAATGGATCCTGCTTCCCACTTTGACATCTGTAAAGTATTTTTACTGTGCAGCAATGATTGAGATCTTTTGCTGATTTCTGAGTAATGTTTGGGGCTTGGAGATTTATCTGGAATAGAAAATCCACTATAATTTAAAGCAAATAGTTTTTCCTTTCTTTCTTCTTTGATTGGAAATGCAATTATGCAGAACAATACTGTTGTTGCCTGAGTGCAGCAAACTAAATACAATATCTGTTTGAAGAGCAGTGTGACCTTTTAATATTCTGGATTGGGTTCAAAAAGAAAATTAAATAATAATGAATTGCAGATTTTTTTCAAGTCAGCCAATTCAAACCTCCTTTTTGCTCATCAAGATTCTGGGTGTGCAGAGTTTTTTTTACCCAGAATTGCAGAACCGTAAGAGCAAGTTACAAACACATATTACAATGTGAAGGACACAATTCTACACATATGATGTATATATAACAAATATTAGAGATAAAACATTTCACATAAAAGTTAGTGTCCCCACTAAAATTGTTTCAAATATTATAAAATGTGAACAAGGTCTCACAAGATCTCAGAAAGCTCAACAGACTGCCAGAATCTTGTGAGATTTCATAAACAATTATAGACACACACACACACATTAAATGCTAATTTAATTGGGCGTGGTATGATGCAATTTGAGTGGGATTGCATATTCTAACACCCACAGGCACTGATCTCTCTCTACATCCTACATTCATTCAGGTTCCCTGCTCTAAGGCAGGAGATAACCCATCAATCTTATTCAGCTCCCCCAAGCAAATGAGCTTCTTCCTCCCACTCCCTGCAATGCAGCAAAACCAACCAGTCTGGTTAGTGTGGGTTACAGGAATGGCCTGCAGGTGAAAGAGCATTGTGTTGCCCAAGACATCTGAGAGCATAATGCTTAAGGATGGAGATCCCAAAGATTGGAGAATCTGAAAGCATATGCATTTTCTTGGCTTTGGTCAACAGGTCCGTGAACGTTACGAGAAGGCCCTGCAAGAGCTCGACCGTTGCAGCCCTCGCTACATAGAAGAAATGGAGTGTGTGTTTGAGCAGGGGCAAGCTCTGGAGCAGAGACGGATTGTCTTTCTCAAAAGTGCCTTCCTCGCCCTGCATCAGCGTCTGGATATGACTGCAGATTCCAGGTGTGGAAAAAGGAGTCTTGCATCAGGCTCCAAGAATAATGTGTTATTTCTTTATAGTTTATTTATTGTTATTGGCCTACAGACAGTAGCCTGCCTGACTAAAACCACAATCTGCATAGCTACGGATATATTCTGTGAATTGCTAGAAAGGTCCATCTTTGTCTTCTTCCTGCCTACCAGACATTCCAAACTTCACTGCCCTTTTGCCTTCTGGAAAGCAACCTCTTCCTCCTGTGACTGTAGCTACATTCCACCATAACTTGAGGGCTATATAACTCATACAGCTAGTCTCATGTTGTTCAGATCCATTTGTTAAAATGAAGGTGTTGATGTTCAGCTTCATGCAGCAGGATTTCCTCTCATGAAAGAAGCCATTTCTCATTGAAAGGGGTGATAAAACGGCCCTTGTTGGACACCAGGGACACTTTTTTAGTTATTTATTGCAATTTATCTACTTCATACCTGACTGAGGAATTCTGAGAGTTGAAGTCCACACATCTTAAAGTTGCTAAGGCTGAGAAACAGGGATCTACTCTCTCTGTCCTCATGGATGCCAGATATAGATTACCGCTAAAAAGGGATGAAAGGCCCCTCCTCCAGCTGTGCAGTACCACCATTTGCCATTAGATGGAGGAATAAAGCCATTGAGGAGGGATAACAAAAAAAATCAAGATGCCTACTTTAATTGTACAGTTAAACCATCATCTTGACTTTTTAGATCACCAGATGACTTGATGCTTCCTTCTGTTGTAATGTCAAGGCAGTCGAGTTGTTTGATCATGAACAACTAAATCAAGATGAACTTTATTGGAGTCCAGTCTTGCATTTATACACATTTTTAGTTATCCTCCATCATTGGTTAACTTTGGTTATTGCTTAACTTTCGTTACTGTTTAGCACAGTAATTAATACAATTAATACAATTAATTATCTCTAGTTAAAGTCGAACATATGTTTACTTCCTCTCTCTAATCCTCCTTTAGATTAGTGACTTTGTTTGCCTGAGTTGTATTTGCTTGGAAACATTCTTTATCTGAGGTTTGCCATCCGAGATTGGAACATTCCTGCAATTACAACTCTACATCCTTCATTCCCTTCAATCTACTTCTCAACAAGCAGCTATAGATATCCTCTGCCTTTTTACCCAAGTGCCACATTCCACCAAAGAACTTATAATTGATTTACAATTAGGTAGTCAGAGGATGCTTCTAGATAAGTACTATATTGATATTATAGCCCTAGCTCAGTGATGGGATTCAAAATTTTTTTACTATTGGTTCTGTGGGGATGGCTTGGTGGGCAGGGTGTGGCTTGGTGGGTGTGGCAGGGGAAGGTTACTGCAAAACCCCATCCCTCCCCACCCCATTAACCTGCTTTCCAGCTCCGTTCTCCTGGGCAGAGCAAGAAAAGAAGACCCAGCTAATCAGTTGGGAGTTGGGACTTGGGAGGCAGAGAACAGATGTGGGTGGGGCCAGTCAGAGGTGGTATTTGCCGGTTCTCCGAACTACTCAAAATTTCCGCTACCGATTCTCCAGAACTGGTCAGAACCTGATGAATGCCACTTCTTCCCTAGCTACAATTTTGGTGCCAGTCCTGGGTTCAAAAACTCCTTCCTCATTGCCTAAGCTTTAGAATATATTCTTATCACAGCTGCCCTGAACTTTCCATTAATAAGGAAACTCATTCAGGTTACTTCCATTCCCCCGGCAGGAAAAAAAAATCACAATTGTCAACTTTTACTAATATTATTAGGCAACAGTTTACAAGTACATGAATGTTATACAGAACTACTGAATGAACTGCCCAGAACTAAACAGCTCTCCTTCCCCACCCTTCTAAAATCTGCTCACTCTACTGTAATTGTCTTTGCCCATGTTTCCTGCAGCTGGACACTTGGTGTTGAAATGGGACAACTTGACACGGCCAGCTTACCCTGGCTAACTTGCCCTGGCCTTCTTGCTGTGGCAGACCCTCCGTGGACAACTCCCCTTGTAGCCAGCTCACCATGGGACAACTCATTGTAAGACAATTCAAGAGAGGGACAAGAGAGACTATGACTCCACAGTTTGGCTCACCTCAGCCTGGAGGACTTCTAATTTGAGAAGTTTCAAACCTAAAGCAAGACAAGGCCCACTGCAATTCTCTTGCCCCCCTCTTGAGTTATCCCACATTGAATTGTCTCACAGTGAGCTATCCCATGGTGAATTGGCTGAAGCGAGTTGGCTGGGGTGAGTCAGCCGGGTTGAGACAGTTGGGGTAAATCAGCCACAGGAAGTCGGCTGCAGTAAGTTGCCCTAAATCCCTTGGTGTTAAGGCCTATTAGGTAAGTCTTTCATTTCCCCTTTTCCTTTCCCTCTCATCCAAATTTCTTATTCTTGAGCTACCTCTCCCAACATCTCAGCTTCTCATAGATGAAACTTCTCCTGGCTAGGTGTTTATGGGATCGATAATGCACCATCAAGCCCAACACTTCATGATGAATCTAGGAAAACTTTAGGTTTGAACCTCTCAAGTTAGATATCCTTGAGGCTGGAGTGAGCCAGAGCTTGAGTCATTTGTCCCTCTGTTGAGTTATCCCATGTTGAATTGTCCTAATGTGAGTTCTCCCACGGCAAGTTGGGCACAGGAAGTTAGCTGTGGTGAGTCAGTCTCAGGAAAACAGCCAGGGCAAGTCTGACTGGGTGAGTTGGATGGGGCGAGCTGGCCATGGCAAGTTGTCCCATTCTGCTTAGTGACCATAGAGAGATTATCTCTGTGACAACCAGTGCCTAACCTGTTCTTGTCTTCACAATTTCTACCAAGAAAATCTCCATTCTACACTATTCCCCATCTCATGGCATGACCTTTAAAACTGGAGCTAGTTAAACTATACCTTGACATCTCTCCAAAGAAAATCTTATCTCTTCCCCAAATATGTACCTCCATTTGCCTCCACCCATCAGATCTTCTGTCCTACATCCTGCAATCTAGCTGCTAAAACTGCACTCTGCCTTGCCTTGTAGCCAACTTTCCTGAAAAGCACCAGGTTGTGCTATCAATCAGAACATAAGACTCTTCAATCTTTCTCTCTTGGATATATTTTTTTAATGGTTGAAAAGCACAGTAGAATCCCACGCGGCAAATGTTGCAACTCAGTACATTCTGTAAAAAATCTGTAAATCAGTTTCACAACATTGTAAACGCCTTGAGGGAAGCATCCTCGGTCAGACTTGTTTTGTACACATTGCTCCTAAGTGGGAATGTTTTGTGCATGTGTGTGTGCTTGTATGTGTTAGAATTTTCTCATCTCTATTTCTCCTTTTCTTCAGCGTCCGAGCTGTTTATAGTGACTTGCATCAGGCCATTGAGGAGATAAATGACCAAGAGGATCTTAAATGGTGGCGTAACCGAAATGGTCCAGGAATGCCCATGAACTGGCCAAAATTTGAGGTGAGAAGCATTTCTTCTTTAAGGATAGGAGAAGAGCAGGCTGCATGTTCTCAGAATCCTTCTGGTTTCCATTTACACACAGTGAGAAAAATGTCCCAACATAGTAATATGGATAATCCTCGACTTAGAACAATTCATTTAGTGATCATTCAAAGTTACAATGGCGCTGAAAAAAGTGAGTAATGATCATTTTTTACACTTGTGACCATGGCATTCCCACTGTCATGTGATCAAAATTCAGACACTTGGCAACTGATTCACATTGATGATGCCTGCAGTGTCTTGGGGTAATTTGATAACTTTTTACAGCCTTTTAACAAGCAAAGTCAATTGGGGAAGCCAGATTCACTTCACAACCATATTACTAATTTACAACTGTAGTGATTCGCTTAACTGTGGCAAGAAAGGTCATAAAATGGGCCAAAACTCACTTAACAACAGAAATCTAGGGCTCAATTATGTTCATAAATTAAGTTCTGCCTGTAGTTTCCAATAAGAGAAAAATAAATCCACTGTTCAGTTGATTCTAAATCCAGATATTCTTACTTCTCGGTGTTGTTTTTTCCCTCAGAAACAAAGAATTATTTCTCCTCAGAGCCTCCAGGCTGTCAGCCAACTGTTGTTTTTAACATCCTCTATGACAAAACAATTCAGCTGATAGCTAGGGAAATATTTCAGATTGTTTGATAACAGCAGTTATCTCCTTTCCTTTTTTTGACAAGTTACAAGAAATATCTTGAAAGAAGTAAAGATTTTTGCTTTCATTTAACATCCCATTTACACCTCTTAACAATTAAGACTTAGTGGCATAAAAATTAGATTATGAGTTAAAAATTAGAGCTAAACCCCACAGCTTGGTTTAGGAATCTTCAGACCCTTCAGGCTGACAATCTCATTTAATTAATTATGTTATTTACCTTTGTATTTCTATAAAAATAGAATTTTTATAGAAATACAATATATTTTGTATTTGTATAAAAAAATTCTTTGCACCAAATGAAATATAAAAGACACCTAAGTTTGGATAGTGTAAGAATTCCTATACCTACATTCTTCTCTGGGGTTTTGTATAGTCTGGCAAATGGAGCCTGGCTGAAGGAAATCTTTAGGAATCTATTTATATATGGAATACAGAATAACAGATTTAGAAAGGATCTTGGAGGTCTGCTAGTCCAACTCCCTACTCAATCAGGAGACTTTATACCATTCTGGAGAAATGGCTGTCCAATCTCTATTTAGAACCTCCAATCATAGAGTACCCACAACTTCCGGACGCAAGCTATTCCACTAATTAATTGTTTTTGAGAATTATTAATGGCTTTTGAGAAATAGTGACTATTGGTAGTTCTCAACTTACAACCATAATTGGGAGCAGAACGTCCATTGCTAAGTGAGGCAATCATTAAGTGAGTTGTGCCCAATTTTATGACCTTTTTCACAGAGCCATTAAGTGAATCACATACTTGTTAAGTGAATCCAGCTTCCACCATTGAATTTGTTTGTCGGAAACTGACTGGGTAAGTTGCAAATGGAAATCACATGATCCTGAGACCCTGCAGCTGTTGTAAATATATGACAGTTGCCAAGTGCCCAAATTTTGATCACATCACCATGGGGACACTGTGACAGTCGTAACTGCAAGGACCAGTTGTAAATCACTTTTCCCAGCACCTTCTTAACTGAACAATCACTAAACAAATGGTCGTAAGTTGAGGTTTATCTTTATTCTACACATATAAGTCAAGAGAAATATTGCAAAGTAGTACTAAAAATTGTCAGGAGCACTAAAAAAAAAAAACACTAAAAAAATTGCCAGCAGGTTTTGATGGAATTTTTTTCTCAGGGTAAACATATTACTTTATTAAAGTTCCTGGACAATTTTCAATACTTTTTTGGAACAGCAGATTTTATATTTCCTCTTTGGACTAGCTACCATCCATCTCTTGAGATAATGTCTTATTAGAAAACCCACTTCATCTTTCTCCAAAATACCAGTATTATAATGCTTTTCTTACTGTGATCCAATTACCCAAAAAGGTATCAATATCAACAAAGTTGCAAGGCTGCCCTTTTGATTCCTAACCATTTTCAAATTTTCTTCTTTTTCATTCTGAATGGGATGTTGTCAAGAAGTGCAGCCCAAGTTCAGATTTCATGTTTTCCCTTTTTCCTCTCCTCTCCTGCTATCCAGGACTGGAGTCCTGATCATGAGGGGCCACAAATGAAAATCAAGAAAAGTAAAGAACAAGAGAAAGTGATACCTTGCAGCATTTCCCCTATCCAGAGCTGGTGAGTTGTATCTCCACCTTCCTCTTCCTTCTCACCCTCCAAAATCAGTGAAAGAGCTGAAACAATAAAATAATGCTGGATGTTTAACTTGTAGTACCCATCCTCCGAACTTAATAAACCTCATCTTATCAGGATAAGAGGAGTAATCCTCAAGAATGGTTAATTAGTTAAAAATCAGAAAGTACAGAATAGAAGTGGACGGGCACTTTTCCCAATGAGGGGAAGGGGGAACAGGAGCTGGAATGATTTTGAGTGAGCTACAAGTTTGCAGATATGATTACAAACAAGATGGTGAAGACTGAAAAAATTATGAAGCGATTGAAAGTGATTGAAGAGAGCAACTATAGTCCAGTTTAAGTAAGTGTAATGTAATACCCCAGTGGGCAGAAAACCCTAAATTTGCATAAACCCAGAGATGATTTAAGTTGCTTGTGACTAACTGAAAAAAAGATATTGGCCTCAAATGGAGAACTTGGTGAAAACATCAATTCAACATGTAATAGTGGTAAAAAAAGATCAACTTCCATCAGTAAGGGCCACAAGGAAAAGGACTGAAAACTGCCAACATTGTAATGCAATATATCAAATTCCATGTTAAAGACCACAAGGAAATGGATTGAAAATTGTCAACATTGTAAAGTAATAACACAAATCTATGTTTGGTCTACAGCTGAAATATCACATATAGTCCCGGCTGCCAGGTTTAAAAAGGATACAGTAAGCTAAAAAAAAAAGTGCAAAAGAAAACACCCAAATGATCTGTGGAATCAAATATTCTTCCTGCTGGAATATTTGAACTTGAAAAGAGAAGGAAGGGGCCTGATCGAGTATTTGAAAATAACGTGGCATAAGAAAACCCTAACTCTTAAACATTAGATCAGGGGTCACCCAGTAAAACTGAGGAGATTTAGAACAGATAAAAGCAAGAGCTTCTTTATAGACTATATAATTAAAATATGTGGCTATCTCTGAGATACAGTGACAGCCACAGATTTGGATTATTTTAAAAGTCTTTGGATATTTATCAGGCTCTATCAATACCTTATCGTGCTAGGGGTGGGTAGCATCAGAGGAACAATGGGGAGAGGGAGGAACAAGGACTTCAGAGACATCTGGCTGACCTCTGGAAAGTTGTAGTGTGATACAATAGGGTAGACTTTATGTTCTTCATGATCAAGACACTCTACTGCTGGAATTCTTGCGACCTCATAAAGTAAGAGAATAGTACATGACAACAGCAGGAAGCCTGTAATTGAGAAAGGGTGATTTGCCTACAGCCACTTACTTATTTGATTAAGGCACTGCACCAACCTATGATTTGCTTAGTCATTATCAGATAAGCTACATTTGGCTGGGTTCAAACTCCATGCTGAACCATAAAGCACAGTATACATAAACAGAATGGTTGGATTCACCCAATATGTATGTGTGGTTTAGGCTTAGTAGCTGTAAAACCATTGAATTTCATCACCAAAAAAAAAAAAAAAATCAGTCAGACCCTCCGTGACTGATAGTCTAGTCCAGTGATTTTCAATTTCCTCAACTTTAATTCTCCCAGTCAGTCTGTTACATCATATTTTCTCATAGTTTCCATTTATGATTAATAGGTATGAGTGGAAATGTGAGCAAAGTTAAAGGATGCCTTCCTTGTCATTACCACAGATAGTCCATCCTAAAATCTGACATTGAAAATTTAGGATCTAATGAAGGCTCTTCTCTTCCCAAAAGCCATCCCTGCCTTTTTTTTTGCCTTTTATTATTTTTAACAACAAACATAAACAAACACAAATACAAAACAAGAAATAAAACCTTCTTTCAGTTGTACAGTGTGTCGGTTGGTACATATTTCTTGTGCACAATATCAACAGTCTTTCCCTCTTAAATTAAATTAAAATTCATATTATATAGATCAACTATTCATTTCATATTATATTATTATTAAATCATCATTAGACTTTGAAAATTCACATCATCCTTTACGAGCAAATCTCAATTTTTACAGATCCTAGTTCATATTATAATTCCTTCCTTAATATATAATTATAACATATCATTTCATTGTATTATATTTACTATTGTTTTTTATTTATATTATAGTATATTTCATTTCTCTATTTTCCTATCTAACCATTGATAAAATAAATCCCATATTTTATAATATTCTTTTTCTTCTTGCTCTCTAATTGCTAATGTCAATCTACTCATTTCTGCACATTCCATTATTTTCTTTATCACCTCTTCTTCTATTGGAATTTTTTCTTTTTTCCATTTTTAAGCAAATACAATTCTAGCTGCTGTTAAAACATTAATAATCAAATATATCAATTCTGTATCTTCAGACAAGATATCTCTGGCTTCAAGTCTATACGTTGTCATTTTTTCCAACCATGTATAAATTTTAGTCCAGTATCTTTTGTCTTCCACACATGTCCACCACATATGGTAATATGATCCAGGTATCTGATGACATTTCCAACATTTCTCCAATTTGTTCTTGAACATCCTTGCTATTCTTGTGGAGGGTAAATGCCACCTGTAAAACATCTTATACAAATTCTCTTTATATGTTGTTGACATTTCATAGTTTCGAGCCCATAATTTCTGCCATTTTTTAGATCTATCCCGTATCCAAAATTCTCCCCCAAGCAATCATTGTTTCTTTAACTTGTTGTTCTTCTAGTTTCACTCCAAGTAAATAACCATATAATTTATTAATCATCCTCTCATCAGTACCTGTTAAAATTCTATCTAATTCAGTAAGTTCATTGTAAAACCCTTCTGTCTTACTATCTTTAACATATCTAGAATGTATTTGCACATATGAATACCAGTTCATCTTGATTCCTTGCCCCTCTAATTCTTGTTTAGATTTGAGTTCACCCCTTTCATTTAATATTTCACCGTATCTAACTTTACATTCTATTTTATAAACAATTGGATAAGCAAATGCCTCTGTCATTGACAACCAGACTGATATTTTCATGTATTGTTTTCTTATTTTCTCCCATATTGACAGTAATGCATTTCAAATATAACATCTCCTAAAATACCCATGTGTTTTACTTTCCTTATACCATAAAAATGCATGTCACCCAATAACAAAGCATTACCTTCTAACGTTAACAACCTAGTGTTCCTCAAAACAATCCATTCTTTCACCCATATCAATGTTACTGCCTGATAATATAATTCCCAATTGGGTAATCCAAAACCTCCTTATTCTAGCGTTTTGTAACAATTTTAATTTAATTCTTGCCTTTTTTCCCCGCCATATATATTTCAGTATTATTTTATTTAAATCCTCAAAATATTCTTTCCCTAGTTTAATTGGAATTGTCTGAAACAAATATAATATTCTTGGTAGTATATTCATTTTGATTGTAGAGATTCTCCCTGTTAGAAATAATTGTATATTTTCCCATTTTTTCAAGTCTGCCACAATCTGTTGTTTTCATTTATAATAATTATCTTCCTTTAGTGTTCCACATCTTGCTGTTAGTTGTATTCCTAAATATTTTACTGTATTTGTGATCTGGATATTCAATCTTTCAGACAATTCTTTATTTTGTTTTTCAGTCATATTCTTAATTAAAATCTTAGTTTTATCTTTATTTATTTTCAGTCCTGCCACCAGTCCATATTCTTCAATCTTTTCTATCAATTTAGGCGCTGTTTTCAATGGTTCCTCTAATATAAAAACCATATCATCTGCGAATGCTTGTAATATATATTCTCCCTTTTTTATTTTCATTCCCTTTATTTCACTATTATCTCTAATATTTCTGTTTAACTCCTCCAAGGTCAATACCAACAACAGAGGTGACAGTGGACTTTCTTGCCTAGTTCCTTTTTTAATATTAATATTGTCAGTCAAATCTCCATTTATTATTACTTTAACAGATCACGTGTGATATATTGCTTCAATAACTTTAATAAATCTTTCTCCAAAGCCCATTTGTTCCATTTGTGATATCATAAACTGCCAATTTATATTATCAAAGGCTTTTTGTGCATCTCAAAATACCAAGGCCATTTGCTTCACTGAGCGTGTTTCATAATATTCCAATGTATTCAAGATTATTCTTATATTTTCTTTGATTTGCCTCTTTGGCAGAAATCCATTTTGATCAACATGTATAAAATTGTTCAAATATCTTTTAAGTCTTGGAGGCAAAATTTTTATAATCTGCATTTAGCAAGGAGATACGTCTATAATTTTTTATTTCTTGTAGGTCAGTATCCTCTTTTGGTATGAGAGTAGTATATGCCTCTGTCCATGAATTAGGTATTTTAGTTTTTGACAAAACCACATTCATCATTTCAAGTATTGAGATACTTAAGGATTCCTGTAAAGTCTTGAAAATTCTGCTGATAGCCCATCTGGGTCCAGAGCCTTTCCAGTATTTTGTCTGTTTAGTGCCTCTGCTAATTCTATCATTGTTATTTTCCCTTCTAACATTATCTTAATATCCTCCGGTATTTGGGGTAACTCCGCTCTTTGCAAATATTGTTTAACTTTTCCTTCTTCAACTTTCTCTTAATTGTATAATTTTTCATAGTACTTCTGTATTATTTTTTTTCTTTTCTTCATTCCCATGGCAAACCATTCCTTGATCATCTATTAGTTGCATTATCTTTTTTCATTTCTCTCTCCTTTTTCAATTTATATGCCAACCATCTACCAGGCTTGTTTGCATTTTCAAAGAAGTCCTGTTTAGCTGCTGGGCTTGCCTTGACCATCAACCTGCTTGGATGCCCAGTTCTTTGAGACAGTTCCACTTGTCTCCACATGGGGCATTTTTACTTATTTCTGAATGCATAAAACTTCAATTGACCTGAAAGAAGATAATCAAATTGAGGTCAGTCAGAAAACATGTACTTCAAAAATAGCTCCCCAGTCCTGCATATGAAGTTTTTTCAAGTTTAACATATGAGGACTAAAATGGGCATGAGAATGGCAGAGGAGACCCATGATCTGAACTCTTGATATTTTTAGTTGC